GCCCCTGCCATACGATCATCGTAGGATGGTGTTATCGGTACTCTCCAGTACGAGTTTATCGCCGCCCCGATCTTTCCTCCTTGTGAAGCCTATATATAGTCGAATATATATCTATATATATTCAAAACTTATCTATGGACAGATTACGTTTTCACGTATGGAATTCGTGATGGACCGACCTGGTACTTTTCACGGTAGATTTTCACGGCGGTGGCATGGGCAAGAAGCTGGTGGTGGGATACGATGTAGGGTTCGGTGGCAGAATCTCCGCCGAAACAATTCGGATTTACGTATTTTGAGCATCTCCCCGGAGCCATTCCTCCGCTACCGTAGCCGGATTCTGCTACCGTCAGAGGCTCGTTTATCGTCATCCAGTACTTCACTTTATCTCCGAATTCTCGAAAACATAGATCGGCATAATCTCCGAAATCATCTCTGAATATATATATATGTATTTATGTACGGTTTGAAAATTATAATATGGTTTTGAGATGTAATAACTTTGAAATGTATCATCTTACACGATCTGTCTACCGAGAAATCCACCGTACGCGTCTTCCAGGGCTTGAGGAGTGTCCCAATGAAACAACGTTACGAAAGGACTCACGCCTGCGTGGAAAAATTAATAATAATTCATTTATTTGTATACATAACATTCCAAATATTTGGTTAAATTTAATATTAAACTCTAACCTTTTTTCAGGAGATCGTCGATGAGATTGTTGTAAAAATCTATGGCTTTTTGGTTCACCCCACCTTTGATTGTTCCACCTTATAACCATGGAGATAATTATATAAATGAAAAAACATAATAATTTTCAATTTGAATTAAAATTGATAATAACAACGCTCTTACTAGGAAGTAGTCTTGACCATGATATGGAGAATCTATGACCATCGAAACCTATGTCATTCATCAGACTCGAATATTTCTGCAAACATTTTCCATTATCATCTTAGTTTTTTTAACCAATGTTAGTAATTATAAAAATAATTAATTTTGTGTTCTTTATATATATGTTCATGGTATAATATGTTCATTATATAACCTTGTAACGATGATAAGAATCCACTGCAACAGTTCCATTGCTACCATCGGCGATTCTGTCTGTGAAAAGCATAATGATATTATATATATATATTTACAATATTTGGAATTCATTTTAATTATAATCTATTGATCGAAATATATAATTCATTATACGAATGAAATCATTTATTATACCGGGATGCTTTTCAGTGTATGTGTCCCAAATGCTTGGTCCTCTTCCGTCAATATGAGCAGCTCCTTCGTACTTCACAAACGAAATCGTGTACATGTCATATAATTAATGTGCCCAACAAAAAACAACGATATATAATAATAATTCAATTACTATGAAAACATATTTTAATAATATGTTACATTAGAGAGAAAAAGATGAATATTTTGGGAGATTATATATAATTGCCTGATAAGCAGCAGAAGCAGTGCCAAAGACAAAGCCTTCGGGGAAATCCTTCTTGGAGATGGAACTTCCACTCACGAGGGATGAAGAGAGGAGGAGGAGCAGCATAACACTTGATTTCTCCATTTTGTTAATTAAAATGGATTTATGATTAATTAGTGTTGGGATTAGTGAGGTATTTATAGGATTAAGGTTAAGCAGATCTAGAGAGAGATATTAGGCGTTGTAATACATATATTCAATATATCCTTTGTTGACTCTTTCAGGTTCTCTCTTACGGATAAGCGATTAGATATCTTTTTTCTCTTTCATCGAAATTCAAATTTTATCTGTCATTTTTTATGCAGAAAAAATACGTTCATGAATTATTAATTGGGAAAATAAAATCATAACCCATATATAATATTTAGATTTGATTTATTTCTATATTTAAAATATTTATATTAGTTAAATAAAATATTATACCATATATATATATATATCAAATGTTGCTCTTTTTCATCCTACATTCAAAGTTTTGTCAATTTGTTTGTAATGCACAAAAAAAGAACCTCACGAAATATAAATTTCCGGAAAAATAAAGTCATAATCCTTAAATTCAACCGAAACTATCAAACATATTCCACTCTAAGAATTCACAATTAATATTTAGTGAAATTAAATACATAAGCTTATTTGCATTCTTGAATTTCTCTATATACCATATTAGCAAAAAATCAAAAGTTGTCCAAATCAATTAGTATATTATTGTGGATGATCTTTGGTATCAAATGAAGCACGTACAAATTTGATGATAACCGATTACAACGCTTTATTTGGGCTTCTTTATGAGCTCAAATATCCAACAAAAACTTTATTGGGCCTTATAAATTTTCAAGGCCCGTTATATTTTGTTACTATTTCGCGCTTTGGACCTGAATTCGTGCACACTGCACAATGTTTGTGTCTTAGTCGCCTACACCTAACATAACAAGTATATTTACAGACCGATTTATCATGATTTGTTTTTGTTACACAACAAAATAAAAAAAAAAAAAAAAAATCCTGCATGGAATGGAGGGCATTTTCGTAAATGACAAAAGGAATACGTAGCGGGGACTGAATCGGTAATTAGATAAATTCCACGTCACAGTTATAAATATTGCGACTGTCTCAACGTTTTCCCTCTTCATTCTTTTCCCTCTGCCTCACCATCCCGGAGCTCTTTTTATCGTTTTGCTTTCGTTTTTTTTCTTTCTCGTATGCCAAATCCAGAGAAAATCAGAAGCTTTTTGTGGGAGAAATCTGCGTGATAATGTCTTGGCTTCGATTGCGAACCTTCGTTGACGTGTTCGTTGGTTTTGATCTTTGGATTTTGTATGGAATTTGAGTTTTTCGTGTGGAGATTTTTGTGGTCGGAAGACGATTTGGAGCTGAATCTAGGGTTTGGAGATGGAACTGGTAAGAGAAAGAGAGTGTGTGTTCTTTGATTTTGACGCTTTCATGTGATGATCTGCTTCAGTATAAATGTTTAGTCTTTGCTGGTGATTTTTGTGCACATTTTCATGGCGATCGAGCATTTCCCGTTTCTGTTCGTCGTCGAAACTGCACTTTCTCTAGATTTCGACAAAATTCTGGCGATTTCTCGATGCATTAGCGCAATTTTCCTTTTTGAAAATATTTTCCCTGCAACGACTGCGTGAATTTGTTGTGCGAAATGGAGATTTTTGCTCTCTTTTGCTTTTATTCTTGTAGTACTTGAACTCTGAAATTTACATCCGCATCGAAAACTGAGTTTTGATTATTTACTTGATTTCCCATCAGCCGGAAACTCAGACAATCGATTTCACTGAAATCTTCGATTCCTTGTCTCCGAAACGCATCCGTTCTCCGTACTCCGTCGGCAAACCGTCGCCGGCGAGAGCTCTCGACTTCACGGACGCAGAGATTGGCGGCTTCCTCGATTCCATCCTGAGGAACGACAAAAGAGAGTTCATCTCCCTCGCGAAGCGGCTCTTCACCGGAGAAGACGCAGACTCCGAGAGAACTCAGGCGTTGAAGCTTCTCAACCTCTGTTGCCATTACGATTCTGTCGACTGCGCCTCCTCCCTCATCAACGGCGATGCCGCAGGAGTCGTTCCGTACATAAACGGCGTCGAGGCTGCGACGGGGCTCTCGCCTATCCACGCGGCCGCGGAGGCTTACGCGCCGCGGTGCACGGCGATGCTGCTGAAGCGGCGCGCTCGTACGGACGTCAGAAGCAGAGACGGACGCGGTTTGCTTCCCCTGGAGCTGTCCCTCAGAAGGTAGGGTTCGCAGGGAAATAAACACAATCGCCGTTTTCACTGTTTCCCAAGTTTGATATTTTTGGTAAAAGCTGTGTGCTTTTTTCATGGTACACCAGGTATCAAGAGCTTCACCTTATGAGGCAATGGCCTGGCTTTTTCACGTTTGTTTACACATTGGTCTTATTTCTCATTTGCTTTTAGAATTCTGGTATCTAAGTGCGTATTAATTATTATCAAGATGTTTCCTTTATACAGGATTCATGTGATCTGGAATCCCTCTGACTCTGTTGTACACTTGATCCTCTCGATTAGCGAAAAGGTAAAACTTTTACGTTCTTTTTGCTCGTCATTTGGCTGCTGAGGGGGAAAAGGGCTAATCGTAATTAGTAGGCATCTGCAGTAACCAAGATGGAAAATTCAAGAACTGATCAGATAAATTTCAATCCTTTTTACAGGACTTGACGGCGGTGAAACTGCTTGCTGAGAAGACAAAAGAATTGGAGACTCTGGCGTATGCAATCGCTGTCGATGGTCTGATTGTTCAATTAGCTGCATTGCTGGTCGTAGCATCTCCCAAGATCAAAGATGCCACCGTGGAGTGGCATGGCGCTGATCCCTTGTCCAAACAGAAAAGAACAATGTACGAGTCTGTCATTCAAGAAGTGCTCGGGCGGCACTGCTGGTTTCAAAGCGGATGCAGCCTGAAAAGAATGCTTTTGCTTCGGGAGATTGAGCTGCTTCAGCTCTTCGATGCAGCCGTTTTCAGTGAACGTGTAGACAATAAGCTGACCTCACCATTGATAACTGCAGCACTGGTGAGATGTGGCTTTCTTGTTTCCAAGGATATAAGTGATTATCAGCTTATTTATGTCCCTGCCATGATTGGATCGCTCACTGGTTGTAACCTATCCACATTCTGTTTTATGTAGGCAGGGGATGAAGCCATTCTTGAACTGCTTCTAAAGACCAAAATAGATGTCAATGAAACAGATTCAGAAGGCAACACTGCTCTCTTGTGCTCTCTGAAGAGCTCCTCTGTATCATGTATGCAGCAAACCAGGTATCATATCTCCCATAGTCTTGCTCATTAACTCGTCGAAACATAACTAGCAGCCAACTTAACGAAGTCTTTCCTGCGTTCCAAGAATTATGTGCCTCCTTATCGAACGTGGTGCATGTCCTAGCCAAAGGAATAAGTTGGGTTTCTGTGCATTACACTTTGCTGCAGCAAATGGAAACTTAACTGCTGTTGAGGTGCATATTCCTTTCTTTTCCTGTTTTGAGTTTCGTCATACTTTGGACCGTCGAATATGACATTTCCATCAAAATGAGCCTACAGATTTTACTCTTCAATAACCCTGATTCTATCAACTTCAAGACTGAAATCAAAGAGACCCCCTTGTTCTTTGCGGTGAAGAACAACCACCTTGCTTGTGTTGAGCTTCTTCTTCGATGGGGTGCAAATACAGAAGTCCACAATTTGCGGTAAGCAACGATCAAATCATTTTTCCTTCTTAACTCATAATTAACCAGCAGTCTCCTATTAGTTGTCATCCTTAACCTCGTCCATGTCGCTTTTGTCATTTTGTGTGCAGCAAACAAAGACCAATAGACCTGGCAGAATCACAAGACATGAGATTCATGCTAAACCCAACGAACATTAGTCGCTGTAAGTCTTTTTATTTCTGCTTGGCCAAAACGTTCAAAGAAGTACCTGTTGAGTGGCACATTTCTTCTCATACACGTGTGAAATGCAGTTAGCCAGTCAAGTCCTGATAGCGCACTTAGTGAACTTCCGAGAAGTACAGATGAGGAAACCGTGTTTGAGAGGTAAGCTGACACAGCCAACTTATGCTCCTACGTATTTCATCTTTGCTTAGGATCTCAAAAAATATTTCTTCATTCCAGATGCCCTTCAATCACCAAGTTAGAGATCTGCAAGTACTACGAATCTCCAACTGGTTGTGCCCGAGGGTCAAAATGCTTTTACGTGCATGGAGAAGAGGAGCTTCAACAACATCCACCACTCGGAAGACCAGTTTCCACTGGAGGTCTTCTTCACTCGCCAGAATCTGCTGAGAATCTTACACCCCAATCAAATTATGGTTCACAGTCAAGAAGACGTGGGTTGATCACCTTCAAGAATGATAACTTCTCAGAAGCTGTTCAAGCACATTGCCTGAGTGTCTCTGGAAAGGGAATGGAGACTGAGACTGATGTCGAGAAACCTCTCCTGCTGACCGAGATTGGTGAGTCTGTAAGATATGGTGAAGAGAGGAACAACGAGAACAGACAAAAAACACAAATGCAGACGATCAACAAGACGACCCCATTTGCAAATCCCAGCCCTAACGACAAAGAGAACTACCCTTCTTGGGCTGAGATGTTACTGCATCACCAGCCAGCCAAACCTTGCACTTCTACATCTAAAGCACAGGTCTTCGGTGACAAACCCAAACCAGTATGGCTCAAAAAGTTCATGACCTGGCTTCCCAGTTTCCTCCAGCATGTATCAGAAAATGGAAGAGAAGCTGGTTATCCCCTCTCATCTCTCAAAGGTGACTTCCGAGCCATTTTTGGCATGGAACTTGATCATGCCTCTCTCGGTTACCACAAGCTCAGCGACTTCATCAAATCTTTTCCTAAGCTCTGCCAAATGAAGGTCGTACCCATAGGTAAAACTGGACCTGCCACACATTGGGTACTCCTACCCAACTGTTCCCAACTCAAGGGAAGACCTCTGCAGCCACTGATGATAAATCGCGATGCCAATGGAATCATCTTTGATGACCCCGTCCTGAACCATGGACCTAAACCAGCATCGTCATCCTCTGGTATTATATGCAGTGACAGTTTCACACAGAACCCACATGCCGCCTCTGAAACCTCAGAGCTGGGGTTACCCAACCAAGCATGCAGTCGACAACTGAAACACCCGCTTCTTGAGACACTTGCAAGGGTTAGAAACAACACCTCCGTGTTCTTTCTCCGTGAGTTCGACTTTCGTCAAGTGAGGACCCCAAAAACAAGCCTTTAGTCTCCATTCCATTATCTTGAAATTAGTTCACATTCTCTGTCATTGTTGTTACCTGCAGAGCTACGAGGCGTGTATAATGCAGGGGATGTGCTTCTGGTGCAACAAGAACGAGCTGCAATGGGCAAACTTCCCATGTAGACACAAGCTCTGGTGCACCAACTGCAAACAAGAAGCTACCCGTGTTGCTGGGAGATTTGACCACAGGTGTGTTATCTGTGACACCAAGGTGGAAAGTTTCATTTTGTCTCCACCATTCGCAGATCTCCCAAACAACAATGAATCCGCTCCTTCTCCCCTTCAAAGATGAGAAAAGGTGCATTTCCCGTTCATCATCATTTGCTCCCTGAATCATCTTCCCAGATGCCCGTAATCTCTTTCTCATTCCCTTTCATTGCTCTTGCAGCTCCAGCAATAGAAGTAGCCACTTCTGGGACTGCATAGGAAGAAAAATAACACACAGGAAATCTACAAGCTCTGTCAAATCAAAGAATCAAGAAAATTAGAAACATCACAGAGGAGAATCAAAGACAGAAGACATACATACCGTCTTTTTCGTACAGTTGAATTCTTACCCAAGAACTCTTGAAATGCAAGCGGATGACTAAAACCATTTTGCTTAACAATGATCAAAAACTTGAAAGTTGGAACATTTAACTCCGAGAGGAAAAGCCGATCTCTCTTTAGAAAACGTAGAAGCAAATGGATCATGAAATCAGAAATTTTGATTTTGGATGCAGCCTCAAGTATAGGGTTCTTACATCAGAGAGCAGAAAGCTTCCTAGGTTTGCTAACAATAAGAATCTTATATAAATAAGAAAAACACTCTCTTGATCTAAGTCAGGTCTACTAACTCTATGGCTTTCTACTGTTCCATGCTTCTTGCCCTTTTCCAGGCAAGAAATTTTCCCAAAGCAAGACTAATATGAGATTAACTCTTGCAAATATCATGTCATATTTTCCGAGCATGATCATTATGCGGACAGTTTCTTCGGTTGCTCCTTCCGTAGCGACTTTTCTTGTCTCCGCCTGAAACAAAAGAAAAACACATTCTCAACGATTTGGGAGTTTTGGGCATTAGGAGAGACTCATAGACACACATATGTCACGATAAAACCGTTCCCACAATAGAGGAAATGGTAGAATAGACTATAGAGACTTACTTATCGACTAATTTGATTAGTGAAGTCGGTCTTCGATATACTTCTTCTTCTTCCTCCTCCTTCCCTTGCTGCTTAGTCTCCATCTTCCAAGAAGCTTTCGTCAACGACTCACCCAAAAGCTCGGCAATGTCAGTGGCCATTGCCTCAGCCTTCTCGACGTACGGGAAATTCTTCTCCTCAAACTGGTTAGATAGCCACAGGTACATAGACAGAAAGAGAGAAGAAACAGAGCGGAACCGGCATGGTCAGATATCAGATTCAGTAAATAGAACCGGGTTTCCATCAGAAACTTCTTCAGACCAACCATGGGTTTCTCGATCGGGAATATTTCATTGAAACCCTGATTTCTTGGTAGAGATCAAGAAATTAGGGTTTTGTGAAAACGAAGGAGACGATGCATGAATGGAGATGATGAAGTGGGAACTAACTTATGAGAAATTCAAGGAAGAAAAGAACATGTCAGCGACTTAGGGTTTTAATTGGTCTTTTGAACTAATCTTTGGGTTGCTTTGAACCATGGTTTTCTCCGGGCAGTTATTGGAGCAACGTATCCATCCATGTACATGTACATGCTATTCGTATATTCTATTGAATTTGTCAAATTGCCCACTATAAGTTCAAATATCGTTTTGAAAGATATTAGTGTGGTAAAATCGTTTTAAATTCCATAAATATTTTATAAATATAAAAATATCAGAAATTTTTATGGATTAGGTGAAAAGATCATTGAAATATACAGAAGAACTTAAAAAGCCTTCCCGTTCTTTCTTTTCTTTTGGCTATTTTGAATCGTACCCTTTGTTTGGTATTTTAACTAATGCATTTCATTCCCATCGCAATGTTAACCGGCATGTTTTGGCTATACGTCGAAGCAAACCGAAGCAGATGGTACATAGCCTTCGGGTTCCTGATATTAACCGGCGCAAAGCAGAAGTTGTACCGATCTTCTAACGACAATCCCCTTACTTTCTCCAACAAGTTTGCTACTTTCTTTATGTGAACATGGCTGCACAAGAAGTACAACCCGTCGAGCCTGCAGTTCTTCCCAAACTGCTCCAGCAACTTAGCAAACTGCATTTCGGGAAGTTTCGTAGCGAAAAGCTCAATCTGCTCGAAGAACGGGAATAGCCCAACTTTCTTAACTTCATCAAACGGCTGTTGCAAACACTCTATCAGATAACTTAAGTCTTCCAAGTGTAAGGTTGTCGTAAGTCCATCCGGGTATCGGCTTCCCCTTCTCCCGGCTCTCCCTGCAATCTGTTTTACCTGTGACCCAGGAACTGGAACGATCTTATCACCGTTATACTTGTGGAGACTGTAAAACACGACCCGTCTTATGTTAAGGTTCAAACCCATTCCAACTGCATCACTAGCCACCAAAACATCAAACTCATTGTCTTGGACATTGAACAGATTAGCTTGCTGTCTACGGGTTTCAGGCGGCAACGCACCATAGATAACGCAACACCGGTGTTTTGTATGTTTCTCGATAGCCATTTTAACCTCGAATATCTCTCTCCGAGAAAAAGCCACCACACAATCCCCGGATTTCACGTTACAAAGATCTCCCAATAAGGTCTTGCCCTCTACCACCAACGGCTTGAACCTCTCGTAATGCTCCTCGTGCAACTCGTCACCCGTATCATCACAAATCTTACGCACAATTTCCAATACACTCGGATCCCCGCACAAATGTATTTCATCGGCCTTTAGCCCGAGCAATGCCCTTGTCCAGGCATAACCTCTACAAGGGTCTGCCATCATCTGTATCTCATCAATCACGGCCACTTCGTATAATTCATCCGTCGACACCATTTCAACCGTACAAGAAATATGATTTGAGAATGGAACATATTTCTTCTCTTGTCCGGTAAGGAGAGTGCAATAGACGCCTAAACCGTTCACCTTGTCAAAGACTTCCATGGCTAATAACCTAAGCGGGCTACAGTATAACCCCTTCTTAGCTTCCATAAACCGCTGCAGAGCATTGTACGTTTTCCCGCTGTTTGTCGGTCCACAATGGTAAACAATCTTACGCTTCATAGCTCGTGCAAAGGGAAACCACGTGTGGGGCTTTGTCAGGTCTGCAGATTCAATCATACTACGGAAATGCTTGATTTCGTCTGGGAATTCCTCAATACAGTACTCAACAAATACAGGGAAGAGAAGCCTAACGGCCTCGTCGGATGGACCTATGAGAACCAGATCATGAACAATATCGGATTTACATTTCTCGAGGAAGAACTTCCGGAACTTGCTAACGGCGGTGGGAAAGAAGGATCTTCCTATGTAAACAGCAAGAGCCTGATTAGCTGCCCAGCCTGATCTTGCAAAACATTGGAAAATTTCAATCAAAGTATCCCATTCAGATCGCTGAGGCTTATACCGATCTTCGTTTTGTTTAAGCTCTGTGTAAATTTCCACAGGATCGCGACGTTGAATGCCCAAATCACAAGCAATCTCCCTGTTCTTCGTACCATCATCACTCTCTTGCATTTCAGCAACCAAAGAACCTGTGTCTTCGTCTTCGGTAATTTCGCCATTCTCATCGACATCTTCAGCCTCAGATCCCAAATCTTCGACAAAACCTTCCATACCCTCCACAACTAATTCATCAGATTCAAGCCTCTCATCCTTTTCACCGTCATTATCCGCAGTAGAGAAAAAGGCTCTAAATTTATCAGACTCAGAACTCCAATATCTGTAATTACTCCATGGAAGCCGAGATCGAACCAAATCACTAGAGCCCGAGGAGAATCGGCTTGTAGGCAATTCAAAAATCGAGTTGGAACGATGTTTATGTAACTCCCAGTTATCAGTTTCTCGAAAAGTATGGAACTTTGAACTCGACGAGAGAACCCTAATCTTACAAGCCCTGTTCTTCGACGAATAGGCTCTGAACAAAACTGCGGCTGCACCTCTCCCCATGGCTACGACCTTGCTTACAATATTTTTTTTTTAAAAAAAAAAGCCCAGAACTTTTCCCTTCAAAAAGATTCTCCTTTTCTAGCTTTCTTCTAACATGTTTCAATGCCTTGATGGTTTCTTAAGCATACCTGAAACCTGCAAGACGAGAAACGACCGGACACGCGAGCGAGCGAGCTAGAGAGAGAGAGAGAGAGAGAGAGAGAGAGAGAGAGAGAAATGCGGGAAAACGATGATGGTGAGCGTTTAAGCGACAAAAACCCTAGACATACGTCGGTTCTAATTAGCCAAGAAAAATCAGCTTTTCGTTCGCGATTTTTTTAAATTACATATATAGATACACGCATACATATATATCAATATATGTGTCAATTTTTAATTTCCAATTCAAACCAAAATTAAGAGAAGAAAAAAGGAGAAATTTATAACATAGGGTTATGAAAAAAAAAAGGAAGAGTGAAGAGAAATTTAATTACCAACATGAGAAAAAATACGTGGAGATCCAATGACTATAAGCTACGAACTCTTCTCTTCCAACTCCACATGCAGCTTCCAAATCTTCGTTCATATATAAGATATATGGTTTCTTAATCCAATATTTTGAAGATTTCACTTTAGAAAAGAAAAACAAATTACGACGGTAAACGTTATCGTGTTTGGTCATGTGAAGACGGAGGACAGAACAAGAGCGACAGGATAGTGTACTGCAAAAACACCAAACCGATACAGATAATGTTCTGCAAAACCCATGAGGGCATCACCCTTTATGCATAGACTTCAAACGTAGACCCCCTCTCCCACAAGGTCTTGTCCTTTCTTCCACGAGAAACTCCTCCTGTTAACCTCCGAACCATCGAGATGCAGCAGAAGCAGAGAATTCAGAATCGCCCTGAAAAACTCGAACCTAATGACCTCTGTGGACCGATAGATCACCCGTTTCTTGTTCTTCCGCACACAAGTGACGATTATCAGAGGTATATCAGCTTACTACTACTTGCGGGTGAATCAGCAGCGAAATGACATAACTATAATTCTTGAAAGAACTCAGAAAAAAATCTGATTCGAACAAACTGAAACTGAAACCGAAATCATACACCAAATCTCAAGTTGCAATAACGCCAAGATCATACCAAAATTTGCATCTGATTCTTTTGCTCTCCCTCCTCTCCTGATTGTGTATGTGAAATCCAACAAAGGGTTTTAGCATTCGAGGGGTCCCTCTTAACTCTTAGTGGCTAGCTTTTCCTTCGCCTTCTGAAGCTTCAGCACCTTCTTCACAATTTTCTGCTCCTCGACCAAGAAAGCACGGATTATCCTGGAAAATATAAAGGTCAAGTATTAAGCTACTTCCTTATGAATATTAAGGCATGAATAATGAACTCTGGAATGAAGATCTACCTCTCCCTAACAGCTCCTCCAGATAAGACACCACCATAGGCACGGTTCACGGTCCTTCGGTTCCTTGACAACCTCGACCTTTTGTACTCAACAGGTCTCAGATGCGGAATCTGCGAAATTCCCCATTACATACATTCACAACATGCAGTGAGAAAGAGAGCATGAATAAACAAATGAAAGCTCAATTTACGAAAGATCATAAGATAATATAAAGAACATGCTCTATTGAGTTCAGAAAGTAGCAACAGTTGAATTTATGCATAACCAGATGCAAAAACAATATAATTCTAAATGCATTGAAGCCTAAGCGAGAGTTTCTGTGAAAATGGGCATATTCAATTAAGGAAGAATCCACCATAGAACAAGGTAACAAACAATGCAAAGCTAACTCTTTTATGTTTTGTAATAAGCAAGTGCAACAAATACAAAATTTTTGGAAGGTTCATACAGATCCAATGCCTACAATTGAAACCCTCCATATTCTCTTTCAAAGTAGATAAGATTTACTGTTACCTCCAATACATAAAACCTAAAACAGCCCAGACATTTTATTTAACTCAACCGAGGTGCCTTAATGACTAGAATATCATAAGATATTATCATCTCAGCCAAAGAGTTCTAAGTTTTTCTAGGTAGATAACTGTCCTTCAAACGCTAAGCATATTCCTTAGCCATAAACAAAGACCCAAAGCCAAAAAATTCACATTTACTTTTCCAATTCTCTCACATTCAGGATGAAACTAAGCACAAAGCCGTACCGCTTAAAAGAATTTCGACATACAATCAATTCAATGACTTCCTCTCACTACGAATACTAAATTTCAGTCAAAAAGCTTATACCTTCCTCATCTTTGTGCCCAGACAGAAAACATAACATTGAACAGAGATCTTAAAAAATCCCAAGACGAAAGAAGTCACATGAATTGAGCAAAAACTCACCCCTTGGATTCTCTTTCCAGTGACAGGGCACTTGGGTCCACTGGCTCTCTTCTTCGCAGTCTGGTAAACCAACTTCCCCCCTTCAAAACAAAAAGCCAAAATCAATTCACCTCATAAACCCTAAATTCCTAATTTCATCATCCGTTAAAAATCAATCGCATATATCATCACCATTGAACCAAATTCAAACGTACCGGGAGTTTTGACGATGCGGTGTTGGTTCGACTTGGTCGCGTAGGAGTGGCGCGAACGGTAAACGAGCCGCTGAACCATTTTCGCCCAGCTCTGCGCCAATACACACGTCTTATGCAAGAGAGAGGCGGAAGAAGACCAAAGGAGGAAGCACGAGTGGGTTTCTTGTTTATATATGGGCGTTGATCGCCGAGCCCTAGATCTAACGGTTGTTCTGAGTCGTATTATTGACGGCTGAGATTCGTTCTTATATAGTTCCCTATATTGTTACTTTGGCCCCATATGTTTACATATATATCCATTTAATACCTTTTCTTTTATAGATAGATATGACATCCACGTGATTCAACCTTTTTTTTTCCCACTAGTGATATTTCCCGTATAAGAAACCTGTAAATTGAAGTTTCACATTGGACCGCATTATACGTTTTTATTCTAGTTTTAACACAAAATTATCTAAATTAAACCTGAAAATATCCACGACTATATCAAAATTAATGTTATTGCAATGATACATAGATAACGATATTGTCTTCTTAAAACCATCGCCAAAAAACGTGATAGCAAGAATTTCGATTATATAATATTACTGTAGTCGTGGCTAAACGTCTGAAGAAAACTCTCTTTTACTATGTATTTAATCAGCTATATAGTAAGATTTACATATGTTCCATAATATGTGTGTGTGTGTATATATATATATGATATCAAGAAGGGAAGAGACAAAAAGATGGATCTAAATGTATCTTTCTATCGACAAAGTTAATGTTGGTGAGCTTATCGTGGCACCAAACCAGATGATCTTTGGTAAGATTGGACATGTTCAAAACCCTCGTCACCAGCTTCATGTCCACTTGCGAGAAGAAGTGAAGCACTTGCTCCTCTTCTTCCTCCTCCTCCTCTTGCCTCTTCTTCTTCTTTAACCTTCTTATTATGCAATTCCCACTCTTCAGCACTTCTTTCAGTCTCTTCTCTTTCTGCATGCATGCATGCAAATATCTCATCAAAACCCTAATATCAGTCTCTTCTCTCTTTCTGCATGCATGCGAGTATCATCAAAACCCTAGCTAGGGTTTTATACATTTTTCAGGTTGTGGAGAAGAGAAACTAATTACCTTCTGAAGGTTGGATTTGATCTCTGAAAACATGTCCAGTCCCTCGGGGCCTTCTTCGGGTTCTATCTTTGATTTAGTCGTACGTTTCTGTTTTATCGAACTCGTACGTTTATCCGATTGAACAAACCTCCAAAAAACCCTAATGGATTCCTCCATAATTTCCACGAGTTGCTCACTTGTGATTGCATTCTCATCAGCTTCATCCTCTGAATCTCTCCTTCTTCCTTTCCTTCTGTCCTTATTGCCATCTTCTGTTAAACCAACAAAATTTTGTCATTAATTGGTAACATCCATAATCAACAAGATCCAGGCCGGTTTTCTTGGGTTAGTACCCATTACCAAAACCAGACCAAACCGAGCACTGGCTTAACCAAATCCAGATAACCGGTTCAAAACCAGTGAACCGGTTTTTAATTTTGATTAGGAGGCATATATGGTTTCGGTTTTGTACGGTTCTTACCTCGTATAACCGGAACCTGAAGGAGATTACGAATAACACAACGTTTCTTGGCGTAATGTTGAATCCTAGGGCATTCGAAAGGCTCATCTTCCATAAATCTCTGAACCAAAACCTGAAATTGTTGAAACTCTCCGGCGATTTCGTTGTACCGACGAGCTCCATAAGCGTCTGATTCCCATAGCTCAATGGCTTTCTCGTATTGCCAGTGAAGAATTTCCCACGAGAGACACATCTGACCAACGTACACGTTTTCCAATTCACCATGAATCTCTCTTATGAACTTAACCATTGGGTCTGTTGTTTCCGGTTTATTCTGTTTCCATAACCGGAGACTAACCGGGAAAACTGATGAGAATGCTCGAGAAGAAGGGGATCCAACGGCCGAGATTGCTCGAAGAGGGTCTTTTGATTGAAGAAGCCCTTAAGAACAAGAGTCAATAACACAAATTAGAATTGGAGTAGCAACCCCCCCCCCCCCCCAA